TACATTTTTTTGCTTGTTTTGTTTTAACATACAGCAAGTGTTCCTAGCAGAATTGGTGATAGGTTTCTCTACCATCAGCATTCTCAGGGTACTAGTGCTGAAAAGCAAAATGCAGTCCAATCACTGCTACATTGTCTTTGTAAAGGGTTCTGGTATGTAGACAGCTTACGTGAATTTCACACAAAGGGCTATTTCTCCAGTTAGGCTTTTCATCTACCTACTACATTCCATGGGGAAAGGAGATAAAAATTGCTGACCTTTTGATTCCCAGAAGGATTTTGCAACCTGTTTGCAAAGGTGTAAGTGACTATACTGACAGTCTGGATGGGAAATTGAGATGCTAACCAACTCCCAAACACCACCCCAAAGAGTAAATCTTTACATTATCAGCCAAAGTAGGCGTAATCTGCTACCTCAGCTTCCTATTCAAGTAGATGGTACTGAAGCAACCAGCGCCTTTTCTACCAGTAGGGAAATCGATACAAACATCACCAGTACTGAGTTTTACAATAATATTCTGCTATTACTGTGCACACACACACCTACGCATACATATATATATAAATATCTCTGTGTAAAATGCGTAAGATATGTCTGTGTATATCCATGTGTGTGTCCTGCTGTCTGTGGTAGTACTGCTGCAGCATTATACTGGGTGCTGGGTTTCCCTGGCTTGCACCACTGCCTGCATTTTGTGGAGGGAGAGGTTTTGCTGACAGTTCCACAGCACTGGCAGGGAATGGAGGGCAGAAATCCTCAAGTCTTTTGTTCCTGCTACATAAATTGCCTGATTTGCCTTTCATGAAAAGGAAGATGAGGAGTAAAGCCGTGTTCATTTACGCCTAGTACAAATACTGCCGCCCGGTACCCTTTGAGGGCAATGGGAATCTTTCCAAGTGAACCAAAATAACGGATTTTTTCAGTACTTTTAGGGCAGCCAACAGAGGAACAAAGAAGAACAAAGGACACAGTGCATTTTTAGAATAATGTGGAAGGATCTATGCTGAGGTGCAGAGAATCCCTGTGCTTGTCTGGAAGCACACTTAGTGATATTCCTCAGGTTTGGGGATTTTCTGCAGCACAGTAATCCCCACTGTCAGACCAAGGCTGAGACTCAGCAGGGAGTGCTTGATGTGTTACCAGCAGTGATGTGAAGGATATTGGGATCAGGCACTGGGAGGAAGCTTCTTCCTTCGCAATATCAGTGTGTCAGCTCTTTGAATTCCCCAAACTCGGGAAATTTGGCTATAAGATTCACAATACTTGGAGATCATGCTTGCACTTCTCCCAGGGAAAAATAAAATATAAAATTCAGTAGTAATGCAAAAACTGGATTTATATGGCCCGGGCAATAATTTGAGAAGATCTGAGATGCTTAAATGGGCATCTGAGGCATTTGAGGCCCTCGAACGTGTTCAAAGGAGGGCAACAAAGCTAGTGAGGGGTCTGGAACACAGGCCATATGAGGAGAGGCTGAAGGAGCTGGGAATGTTCAGCCTGGAGAAGAGGAGGCTCAGGGGAGACCTCACTGCTCTCTATAACTTCCTGAAGGGAGGTTGTAGTGAGCTGGGGGTCGGCCTCTTCTCTCGTGTCATTAGTGATAGGACCAGAGGAAATGGTTTCAAGCTACGGCAGGGGAGATTCAGGCTGGACATTAGGAAGTATTACTTTTCAGAAAGGGTGGTCAGGCACTGGAATGGACTGCCCAGGGAGGTGGTGGAGTCACCGAGCCTGGGGGTGTTCAAGGAAAGACTGGATGTTGTGTTGAGGGACATGGTTTAGTAGGAGCTATTGGGAATAGGTGAACGGTTGGACTGGATGATCTTTTAGGTCTTTTCCAACCTTGGTGATTCTATGATTCTATCTACCTTAATGGAGCACAATGAACATTAGATCAGAACGCAGTGTGAAAACTTGCATTTAAACAGAGATGTGAACTTTGTGACTTGAAATTTTCTCTGTAATAGATCAATTTTATTTAAGTAATGCACTACTCAACTTAGGCACTCATTGGAAGGGACAGTGGCAGCACACCCTGGGGACAGGCCATTTTTAGTTGTCTGGAAAAAAAAAGAGTCTTGCTTACATATCCATTAAAGCAACAGCTCCACCTGAAATATGTCAAAGCACAGTGATCTGGGATCTTTTGTGTACTTGCAGACCATATTTTTGCTGCAGTGGCTCATTGGTGACCCTGCACCTTTTGGTCCGAGGAGAGGTGTGTAAATGTGGAGCATCCAAAACTGAGGTCAGTGTCATTACTGGAAAACATCCAGACTCTCTGAACCTGCTGCTGTTCACACGCTGCACTGACATTTTACAGCTCCTAATATTTTGCTGCCCTGGGCAACCACCTATTATGCTTTTTTTGTTGCAAAGCCAATCTTCCATGGAAACACTTCCAGACCAACAGCAACTGTGCTTTCATTAGGTAATCACAAACATGGATTGCAGATGAATGTATTGATACATGAAACATGAAACAAGTACTGCACTGCTCTGAAATTTGTCTGCCATCAGTCTTGTTTGTGCCAGTGAAATCTGGCATGAATTCCTCTATATCACTCGAGAGTTTGTTTATGCAACAGCAGGTAGATTCATGTACCTGAACCCAGAGTTTAATAATTGATCTCTTTTGTGTAGAACAGCACAGAACAGCACTACATGCTGCATAACACAGCACAGTGGCCACCCCAGGCATTGTCAGCATCTGCCCAGAAGCTTGGGGTGAACGTACTGCTTGAACTGGATGCCCTGGGGATGCTGGGAACGGGGAGTGAAATGCACAAACTGTCACTGCACGGCTGGCAGGGACACAGCAGCATTGTTTCATCTGACTGAAAGTCATGGTCAGGAGCGGTAATGCAAGGATGACAAAGGCTTGTCCCATTCCTTTGTCACACAGCGTGTGGCCCTTTAAAGCAATCATCTGTGACCTCAGTGACTCAACACGAGGGACAGCAGCAGAAGGGAAAGGAAATGCCAGAGCATGACACAATTGTTTTCCAAGCGAGCAGGTTTTTGGTGCAGAGCCAGGTGCTTGTACCTGGACTTACATGTACATCGGTGAAGCTGCTCAAGATTAGGAGCTGTATGTGATGCCTGTGTCATGAGCCAGCCTCTTCACATGCATATTGAGATAGTTTCTGTTCCTGCGAGAAGGGGTCTGGTGTTCTACTGATGTGCAGGATAGAATCTGGTATAATTAATCTCTCAGCCTGTTGTTGCTTTCTTGTGGATCTAAAGTTTGCTACTTCTAAGGCCTATTGACTGTATTCAATATCTCTTCCTGTTTAACTTTGTTATTCTTGCCTCCTGCCTTTTTTTTTTTTTTGGTGGGGGGGCTGTCTTTTCATTTTCCCCTTGAACTAGAGTTTGCCTGAAGTGTGGATGAGTCACAGATAACGTATTTCCTCTTTTCTGAAGCACATTTACATTTTTGAGCAATTACATCTGACAGTGATCAGCTATACATTCCAAAATATCCTTTTCAGGGAGGAAAAAGGAGGAACAGTGATGCTGAAATCAGCTTGAAAGGTAAATGACTGAAAGAGAAAGAGAGAGAAATAAGAGACAGAGAGTCTTGGAAGGGCAGCCGGACGTAGGCATTTATTGTGCAGCATTTGATGGCAGTGCTTCAACTGATAACATTCCTGTAATCAGAGCCACTCTGTCATACCTGTCAGCAGCCATCAGGCAAATCACAGGCAGCTCTAAATACAAATATCTGAAGCAAAAGGCATAAATAACCCAGAAAACCTATTCATTGCCTCTGCTTCTAGCCTGGCATTTTCTGAAAAGTGGGAAGGTTAGTTTATAATGGGATATAAAAGATGCTGCTAAACTCTGCATTGCCCCCATCAAAGCCATGGAGCTCCAGCTCCATGTTGTGACTCTCACCTTAAGGGCTAGAGTATTTATAACTAAATATTATAATCATTGAAGTAATTATAACAGTTATCAGTTATGCTAACTAATATTTTAAAGGCCTTTAATTTTTGTCCTTTTTTTTTTTTTTTGTCTTGGAGGTCAACTGAAAATGGAGCTTCCCATTTTGGCTTGTGTCCAGGCTGTGGACTCTGTTTCTCATGTTTCTGTGGGCCTTTTCTTCTTGTAGCAAGTACTCCCTTCATAAAGAAATCTGCTACTGAGGGCTGAAGCTTGTAGGGCAACTATAGCCTCTGTCTTTTCTTCCCCAAATTGTAAGGCTGTGTGGGGCTTAATAACAGAAGTCCTATGAGTATTAGAGTTAAAGTCAGGCTTGTCATATGCGGTCATCAACATGACAGGCTAATTCCAGCTGTCTCTTTCCACATATCAGAGCACCTTATATAAGAGCCATCAAGCACTCATTTGTAATAGAGAGTATTTGTGTAATGATCAGTGGTGCCACAAGACAGTCAGCTGGAGCTCCAGAAAGGGTCATCTTGACCTTCAGCTGTGACTGGAAGAAGATAATATTGCAGTTTAGCTGCACTCAACAAGTTATTCCAGTAAATCTTCTGTACCTTCAGCACAAGGCAGGCGCCATCGCTGCTCTTTTAAAGAAGTATATCTGGGAAGGAGTCTGCTCTAAGCATCTGCCTGGGGAATACTTCTCAGTACAGCTGAAGAGTGCAACTAGGAAGCTGAAATCTGCATAACCATCCTGCTTCCTGTTTATTTCCTCATCCCTCATGTATTGCATCATCTCAGCTAATAGTAAACTGTGTTGTCAATTGTTCTCTCTATTTCTAAGGAGTGGATAGAACCACAGGACTGGAGAGTACCAGCACTCAGGTAATTTATTGCAGAGGCTAGACTGCTTGGTCAGGGACTTTCTGGGAAGGATAGCACAGCAGCAGAGAGTAAGGTGCTCATTATCCATAAAAATTCCCTGTATGTTAACTGTTGAGTCACAGGCTGAACCACTGATTGAGCACCTGAGGACCCGGTTAGCACAGGTGAAGGCAATTCAGCCGTGTGACCCACAGGGGTGGAGCCTGGCTGCAGCTCTCTTATACCTCATTTAAAGGCTGGCTGCCACTCTGGGAGGATCTCTAGTTGGAGATCTGTCCTTTGTGGGGTTTTCCTGTGAGCCTAGATCTTCAGAGGCAGGTGAGCACTTTTTGTTTGTACCACCTTTCCATTGTGTTATGCCCTTTGTTGTTATGCTTCCTGTATTGCTATTCCACTGTGTTGATCTTTCTGATTGTTACAGTCCCTCCAGGTTCTTGCTCACTTGTCTGAAGATTTGTGGGTAGATCTCAGTTTTCAGAAGAAGAAGAAAAAAAAAAAAACAAAACAAAAACAAACAAACAAAAAACAACAACAAAAAAGGGTTTGTAAACTGAATTATTTACTGAGCTTGAGTACAGCTAAAGCCTCATTTCCTAAATCTGTGTTAGATGATGAAAACTTAGTTTCACTCCAATTATTGATCTGTTCCTTACTTCCTTGACTACTGTCATCCTCTATCAGATGAGGCCTAGGCAAAGTCTAATGTTATTGAGAAGCAAGACCTACAGTTGGATCAGGTGTGAGGCTGGAGGGAATTGCCTAAGCCTGATGTAAGTGGTGAAGAAAACCTATCTGCCCTTAGAGGTTTTTTTTGTGTGTTCTGAATAAATGCCATGAGATAGGCACTTGTCTGAGCCTTGGAAGCCCTAAGGATAACACTGAGTAAGAGAGATAGCCTAGAGCTGCAGGGGGTGAGTCTGCAAAGGAGTTGCCTAAGGATGGTGCAAACTGCAGAAATTTTCACTTTGAGCTGTTTTTCTGTGGAGGTCTTGAGCTAAGGCTCTGCTGAAGTCACTGTTTAGGGCTAGGGTTAGTCTTAGGTAAGAGACTAGAGCTGCCCTTGGCCTGAATCCGCAAAGTGGATGCGAAAGAATGCTGTAGCCTAGATTAAGAAAATACTAATAATAGTAAACTCTTCAGAGAGCTTTTTTCCTTCAGGCCCTAGGTAGGGTTTTTGATCCAAAGCCATGCTGCAGCATTCAGGTACTATAGCAGCTCTAATGAGGAAAAGAAAGGTCTGCAGAAAAGCTTCTTGTGCTCTTCTTCTCTTTGACTTGTTCGCTACAGACACGTCACTAGAAATATGACTTAAGTGAAGTGGGAATCAAAAACAGCATAGAGAGTAGAATGAAGGGCAAAACAAAGTGGACTGTGAGGAAAAGCTGCAAATGAGCTATTTAAAAAAAAAATCATGGGTGAATATGTTACTTTGAGTTGGTTGAATTGCTGCTGACAGTTGGACTCGGAAAGAAGCTTGATGTAGGAAGCTGAATATATGCTCATTTTAAAACTAATCTGCTCACAAATCCTACTTGGTGCAAGTAGGTGTAAATGAGATTATTTTCCATAGCAGGTAGCTGTGTGTTTCAGAGAAGAAATAGAAATGATTAAAGAACAGTGAATGAAGACCATCTTGGCATCTGAGCTTTGTGTAAGGATAAGGATGAGATACTCAAGAAGAGATGAGAGGAAGATGTCAGACTTGACAAGAAGCAGGAGGCTTGAGAGACTTGGTCCTGGAAGGACTAGTCAGTAAGAGATGTGTGGATCTTTGCTGAAACTAGGGGGAATGTCTTTTCTACCTAGACTTGCTCCAAAGTTGACAGTTGCAAGGTGGGCACAGTAAGTACCAAGCTCTGAGAAGACTAACAAAGGGAAGAATACTTTAATAGGGACACGCTTGTTGGAGTTTATATCAGTGTGCAGGGAAATAAGTAAACAGATGACTGCTAAAGACAACTGGAGTCAGTAGATAGAGCTGCATGTGTCAACCTTGTATATACATTGTTCATGCATTTTCTTAAGGCACTGCTGAGATCTTTCCATCTCCCAGTAATTTTATACCTTTATTATATACAGTCCCAGAGCTTGGACCAGGAAGAGCATCATGTGAATGTGCCTGGCCCCAGACATCTTGCATGGGCATTTGATGTGGTGTCATTGCTAACTGCAGACCAATGAAGTGTAAAAAAAAAAAAAAAAAAAAAAAAAAAAAAAAAAAGCTTTGAATTCAGCCCTAGCTGCTGCTGTTAGTATTTGTCAGAGGGCTTTAATAAATGCCTATTGATGGCTTCACTGCTGTTGTCATCATTCCCTGACGGTATTTGAAATCTTGCTTGGTTTGCTGAAAGGTAATTTACTTACACAGCTATCCAGTTTATATCTAGTTTATTGCCAGTATTTTATTTAACATGGGTGAATATGTCAGCCATGGCAGGGCTAATGAAAAATAACACAAAATACCCTAGAAACTGAGGAGAAGCTCCAGCAAGGTATGTCCTTCCCAATGGTATTCTACCCTAAATACTGTGAGGAAGGGTGGCTGTTGTTTGACTAGTGAGTCCCACTTTCTAAGTGCCATGTACAAAAGTGCTTAAGTCCAGAGCTACCTGAGGAACAAGGGAGCTCCCTTTGAGCTTATCTTGGACACTGCTGAGAGCAATCTGTCCTGTTTTTTTTTTTTTTCACTTCCCAATAGCTTGCTCATTGCAGCATAGTTACTCAGAAAATCTTAAGGTTATCTTAACAGTAGTAGCTGTGGTACAGGCACTAAAGATCAACTCAATGCTTTCAGGCTTAAGAGCCAGATGTCTGGGTGCTTCTGTGAGCACAGTTTAGCCAACTCCACCTCCCTGCCCAGACTGTTATGGCAGTTTTTCTTCAGATAAAAACTTGAAGAGTCTGACCGCTGAAGCTCACTGCTATAAAATCTATTCTAGTCAGCAATAACGAAAGCCCAAGTTCTGTCAGCTTTTCAGCCACCTCTGTCCATACTTCTGTTCAAGGTGGCTTTTGGTAATTTAATAGCAGCGACTGTCTTCTCTACCTTACTTTTTCTTCTTGTCAGTGCTGAACACACAATGGTAGAAGTTTGAAAAACATAAATTGGAAGTGGGCAAGGGCAGTAAGTTTTTTTTTTTTTTTTTTAACTCCCAGGAGTTAAACCAAGAGAATCAACTGCCTGTTACTGTTGTCATGCCAATTTAAGTTTATATAAAACACTGGGGTTACAGATAAAGCAAATCTTATGAGACAAGAAAGAGGCTTTGAACTCTCCTGTTCACAAAGTCTCTGCTATAACTGCTTGTCCATTGCCTGTGTTGTCTCACTTGCCTTGCTGTGGTGCTGTGAATACCAATTAAGTGCTGGAATTGAGAGAGACGACTCTGCTGCTCTGGGATGAGAGAAGCAGAGTTGAAGCTAACCGATGCTAAGGCTCATGCAGTGCCATACAGCAAGACTCAAGGCAGAGATGCTCATATCAGCATTTAGTAATACCAGATTTATAGAGGTATGTGACAGCGTTAACTTTCAGGTAATTAATTTTCATGAATCTGCCAGTAACTTTTAGAGCACTGATTGTACCGAGGTGTTAATTTGCAGTCCAATCAGTTCTTGCTTTTAAATAACATTTCACCTGTAGTGTAATTACATTCTTCAGTTGTTGGCCAGATATGTAATAGGATGGTTTATAAAGTAGTTGCAGGGATTGTCTGTTTGGCTTCTTTCAACTAGGCCTAAGTTTTCCCACACTGACATAAGCATGTAATCCTAAGTGAATTCCTGCTGGTAATATACACTGAAGGTGAATTTTGACACTAGTGAACAGCAGTGCACTATTGAGCTAGAAGATTTCAATTTTTTGGAATAACATTCAAATTGTTAAGTTCTATTTGCATTCTATGATGGAATAACTTCAAACTTCTTCAGTGGAAGAGAGAGATTTTTCACTTCAGGTTATCACTCAAGAAATGGCCCGTGTCCACCTTAGAGCTTCAGTTTAAAAAAATAAAATCAAAATTGGAGTGAAATACTTTGGTTTTGACTTTATTAGAGTTCCTGTGGGATGGGCTTAACTGAAAATATCCCTGTAAGTTTGGTATCTTTTAAGATGCCTGTTTACGTTGTGTGTTTCTCATTTTGAACTTAGATGTTTTGATACTCAAAAGGTTTAACACTCGAGATTAAGAGGCTTTTTGGACTTCCTGCTTTGCACAAATTCTATTCTTTCCTTCCAAGTGAAAATTTAAGGCAGTGATTAGTAAATATACATCTGAAATGGTGGGATCTCCCTACAGACTGCAGAGGTAGGTTTACACAGGAAATGGTGTTTCCAGTAATTGAATATGATGATATAATTTGTAGCTGCACAGCCATAAGTTTGTGCAGATCAGATTGTTCCTGATTAATTAGGTTTTCTGTTTATCACAACACCACAATCTTTAGGCAAAAAATCATAGTTCCTGTTTTGTTTACAGCTTTCCAGGAGGCAGAAGGCTTCTGAGAACTGCTTAGCTTCTCACATCACTGCCAGTCAGATGGGCTGCCCATCATACAAGCCATGACAAACCCCTGCAGCACTGCACAGTGTGCCCCACTGCTGAATCATCCTGCATGTGGTCCTGGGGTGCCTGCAGCTTGGGCACATAGGAGCATTTACATAGATTCCCTGCATGACAAGCACTCAGTGCTGTTCTGTTTTTGAAAAACAAAAACTTTTAAAATATGAAGTGGGAGAGCAGCTCTTGGATTATGAGAGTGGTCTTTTCTCAAGTGATTCCAGGACTGACTTATTTTTCCTAGCATTTAATGCCCCTGAGAAATAAATCCATGTGCAACATTTGTGTTGTTTGTTCTGGAACAAGTGTGGCTAGCTCCAGTGCAGCTCATTGCTCAGACAGTTCAGGGCGGGAGAATGTGATCTATTGTTTTCCTGCTGAGTAACTCCATCCTTGTGTCACTGGTCCCATGTCAAGGCCATTACTGAATTTGTCAAGCAGTCATATCAGTTCTGGAGAAGGGAAATGTGCAGTGCTGGGAGCAAATTGGCTTTCACAGGATTTTGGATCTGGCCCATCCTATTGCCTATGTTGCTGGCCCTTACCTGTTGCTTTCAGTGTATGCTGTGCTGTGCCCTGGGGCTGGCTGCACAGGAGGAGCATCAGTTTCCCCCTTAAGAACTGTAGCACCCAACATGTTGTAGCTGCACAGCTGCAGTATAAATGATAACAAGGTGAAGCGAATTGATTGCACCCGGCTGCCTAGTGTTTATGTGCATGTGCTGCTTTTGAATCTATTTCAGCAAAGGAATTTGTGCAGAGGAAGTGGCAGGGATGCTGCTCTATGGAAAACAGACCCCAGGCAGGACCAGTGCATTCTGCTGAGCAAGGCTCCTTCTGAGCCAGCTGAACCGTGGGAGCAGAGGCATGCCCTAATCATACTCCATCATGATACAGGTTCCTTCTTAGCATGCATGCAACACCCTTACTCTCTGCAGAGCAGAGGGTTGGGAGTTGAAGTTGTTAGCTTAGACATCACAGCTCTTCAGCAAAAAAGAAATCCAGTTGCTCTACAAACTTGGAGCAATGGCTCTTGCTCTCTCTCTTCTCTGGAGGACAAGGGAGGGAAAAGCAGCAGAACAGTCAACCAAGCCTTCTCATTCCCATCATACTGCCTGCTTGTAAGCCACCACAGTCAGGATGTCTTCCAGACAGACCTTTATGGTTCTAAGTATTCTGGGAACAAAACCAGTATTGGGATCATATTTTCCTTTTTCAATAAGGAAAATTAAAATAACTATGATTTTATCTTTTGATGGCTGAGGAAGAATTGAGATCAATGACTACCTGTGTTATCGCTCAGTGCTTTGAAACATTCAGACTCATAAATGAACCTTTCCTTCCTTAAAGGCAACCAAGGTGCTTGCTGCTCCAAATTCCCCAGTGTTGAAGTACTCTGTTCCAGTTTCTACAGACTGCTTGTTCTGGCTTTTCAATATTCCTAGCTTAGTTTTTCTTTTTTTTTTTTTTGTGCTGATATTACTGTGTGTCCTTTCTCAGATGCTGTCACTGGGGACTTACAGGATTCTACTTGGTTCAGGCCAGTCCAGCTGTGATCCACCTCTAAGCTCAGGAGGACTGAGAGCAGGCTGAACACAGGTCTCTTCTCTGGGATGGTGTGCACCGCTGAATGATGAATGTCAGAAGTGAAGGAAAATACCATTACAGCAGCCTCCACTTGCTCTTACAGAAAGCTTACCATGCAACAGAAATGTGTCGAATGTCCAGCAAGGGATTTCTACGGGGTGGTCACAGCTTCACTGCAGAGTGTGGTATAGGCGTGACAGATATGCATTAAGCATGGCACTTGAGTAATGCAGGTGGGTAACTGAGTTAAGGAGCAGTATTTCCATTAACACTCATAAATCACTGTGTACAGAGTGTATAGCTATTCCTCTTTAACTAGCGCTTGGCCTGTGAACCAAAAGGTTGTGGTAGAAAGGGAGAAATTTGCAGATGCCTTCTGGTGTCATCTCTATCTAGCTGCTTAAATATATTTATCTCTATTTATCTCAGTACTAACAGAGTACAGAATTTCCAGTCTGTGAATCCTTGCATCCCAGAAAGAACTGTTGTGTTTCACAATTAACCTTGCTCTGACTGGTTGAAATATGAGCGCACAGCATTTAGACCAATCATACTGTACAAGCTGTAGTGTTTTCCTTAGACTCCTGGGTATCGGTTAGCTGCAGTGCTGCCAAAGGACATTCCATAGTCAGAGGAAATTGAGTGTAGGTGGGCAGCCCAGAGCCCAAGTGCATACTTAATAAGCTCTCAGTTGTTGTACTTAGAGGAGTGAGTCACACAATAATCATCCTATCATCAAAATCACTTGGGTGTGTTGGATTTTTCTTTCTTTTTTTTTTTTTTTTTTTTAAGCTTAAATTTCAAGTAAGAGTTGCTGATATTTTCCAGAGATTTAAATTCTGAAAGTAGGAAAAAAATATGAAGCAAAGCAAGTTGGCTGACGCACATAAGTGTGTGCAAATACTGCTACTTTGGTTGTGAACTGTTTTCTATTTAAGTGCCAAAAAATATTTCAAATGTTTTTGAATAAACTGAGGCTGAGGGCCTCTGGCAAGGAAAAGGGTTTTGGATGTGGCAAGCAGACATCAGACTGACCTTCCATTCTGGAGAATGAGTGGCTTTCTAACTAGAAAGGATTAACAGCTGGATAAGAAGGCAGGCACCTACAGGATGAATACATAAATCTTGTGTTTTGCATATACAAAATATTTTGCTCCCAAGGTTTATCTCAATCTGCTATAAGACGAAAATTGTTGGGTTTTTGTTATTGTTGAGTTCTTAAAGCAGAGTGCCTTCTCCTAAAGACCTCCTAGGTTAGGGTGCTGTTTGTGAACTCATGATGCTTTTTTGTCAAGTGATTCTCCTGTGCCAGCTGCTTCCTCTGTGCTGCCCTGCATACCCACATGTTTCTGCGAGGTTTGCTAGCATGAGAAGAGCCCTTCTGAGAGTAGGGAGCAGTTTTGTGGGCCTCCAGCGTCCCCTTCTGCCCAATGCTTGTGCCAATCCTTTTCCAGTGCCAGCTATTGACACTGCACACAAGAAGGCCTCATCTCCTTCAATGAACAATTCCAAAGCAAGTTTTCTGCTGAGGGATCCTCAAGGCTTCTTCTATTTCCCTTGGGTTTCACCCTTCTGTTCAGGGGAAGGGTGGAGCAGTGCCCTGGTTAGGGCTGTCTGCCTGCTCCTTTCCTTTCTTGTGATGGAAGAATGCTAACATGGTCTCTGAGGCCACCAGGGTCTCGCCCAGCCCATTGCAGGCATGAGTCAGGGGTGAGCACAGGCTGTCACATCTCCTCCTCCAGCTGGGAGGAAATGGCTTTTAGTCAGAGACAGAAATAGAGGTACAAAAGGAGTATCATCTATGTCTGTTCTCTCTTTTCACTTGGTTTCTTCTTAGATTACCCTGTTTTAAAAGCTATTAGTATCCTGACAGCATAAATGAGGAGAAACTTGTTTCATTTAAATGATATTAGGAATTCATTCTCTACTCTGAAGCCATTCTTTCTGTTCTCTGATTTGTCCTTCAAAGGTATCCTGGAATATCAAACCTCTTTACTCATATTGCATGGTCTCCATGCTGCTGCTGCTTTTCTCTGAAATACACTGCAGGAGAGCAGAGGGGCTGTGTAAATGGTACACAGACCAGACACAAGCTGGAAATCCCTCTCCACCTACACACACTTCTTTTGTAGGAGTGCTAACCCAGTGGTATGAGGGAATCATTCGGCAACATCACTGCTGGAGCTAAGGGTCTTGTGAACAACACTACAGGTGAGGAACTGGGAGCTGAAAACTTTTTTTTTTTTATGAAGATAAAAATTATTTCTGATAAGAGTAATGCAATTCTTGTTAAGAAGGAGGCAATCTCTTTCCTTGTATTATGCATTACATATCAGGATCCTTTAAGGGCTATTAATGTTGGCTCAGTGATCTCAAATTTGTATCTGGATGCCTTCTAAGCTTGTTTCCCCTTTATTTCCTTCTAGTGCTCTAGGGGCATAACAGCGGCAGGAACTATTATCAGAACATAATGCCCTGCATTTCTGTGACTCAGCCTCCCTTCTTTCTGCAGAAGCTGAAGTGCACCAGGTGCTCTATGGCACAGGTGTTCTGTGGATGCTGGCTCTGGCTTCAAGGATCTCCCAGCCTCATGCATTCAGAGTGTTTCCTGACACTGAATATGAGAGCAGCTACTTATTTCACCTTTTTCACTCTGCTGTTGTAAACCATATTCTTAACAAGGATGCATTTCAGTTGTTCAGCAGCCTGCATATAAACTAGCCTTTGTACCAAAATGCTTAAAGTACTGTTTTGTGAATAAACACAGTCCAAACTACTGAAGCTAATGAAAGCCTTTTCATGAACATTAATGGGAGTTTGATCTTCACGTATGCTGCTGCACATCCAGGATTCCTGCTGATCTTTAGCAGGGTGAAGCGGCACAAATTCCCTCCAGAGTAGGGCAGAAGTATACACCTAACTACTGCTGAAATGCCCTGTGGTCAGACACATGGTAGGGTTTGATTTTTTTGATGCAAGTGAAGTGTTCAACTTGGTGGTCCTCAGGATGTCATTTTTCTTCTCCTGCATCCACTCTCTGGCATAGCTCAGGTTGAAGGATGCTTTGTAGGTCTTCTGACATGCCATCACTGGAGGGGATGATACCAGGCAGGATTAGCGTGGTGCCTGTTGAAGGCTTACTCTCCCTGATCCATCTGCTCAGGGACAGCGACCGTCCCCATGGGAATTGCAAGATATGGGGAATCTCAGCCATCACCCTACCATCACTTTGCCCATGGGGACAGTGGCCAGTGACTGTGAGAAACATGGCCCCGTGCAGCATGGCCTCTGGTTGAAGGACACCCCAACAGCTCTCCAACCAGTGCTGATTATCCTGCCCCTGTACTCAGCACTGGTGAGGCCTCACCTTGAGTACTGTGTTTGGTTTTGGGCACCTCATTACAGAAAGGACATGGAGGTGCTGGAGCAGGTCCAAAGAATGGCAACAAGGCTTGTGAAGGGCTTGGAGAATATGCCCTATGAGGAACTGAAGGAACTGGGGCTGTTTAGTCTGGGGAAAAAGAGGCTGAGGGGAGACCTTATTGCTCTCTTTCAATACCTGAGAGGTGCTTACAGTGAGAGTGGGATTGGTCTCTTCTCACAGGTGACAGGATGAGGGGAAATGGTCTTAAGTTGTGCCAGGGGAAGTTTAGGCTGGATATCAGGAAGCACTTCTTTACAGAAGGGCTTGTCAGGCACTGGAATAGGCTCCCTGGAGAGGTGATTGAGTCACCATCCCTGAATGTGTTTAAAAAACTGTTTGGATGTGGTGCTCAGGAACATGATTTAACAGAAGGTTGGGTAGTATGGTTAGTTGTGGTTGGACTCAATGATCTTTGAAGTCTTTTCCAACTTGAGTGATACTATGATTTGAAGCTCTTGTACTTAGACTTGTTTCACTTCAGGGGTTTGTTATGAAAGCTGCCATAGATGTGCAGCTCAGTATTATAAAAGTAGGAAGATTTGTGTAATTGTTGTATCTTGCCAGCTGCTGCAAAACACAAACGTAAACCCTGATCATGAGGCAGTCAGTACTTACACAGCCCAGCAAGCAATGTGGAATGCTAAGCAAGCTTTGCAGTGAGGAGCAGAGATGTTATTAAGAAAACCATACTCTGATCTGTCTTCCATGAAGTGACTTGTAAAAATAGTGAAGAAACAGTTACTTTAAGAATTTTGAAAGACTGTCTGTGTCCCTTTAAATAAATGCACTTTGTGGGGTTTTTTTCCCCTTCATGTAACTGTGGGATCCTTCTGTTGTTACTGCTGAGCATGTTCACCCTCCTCCAGATGAAGCTTATCTATTGGTTCAGCTTGCCCTAGAGATCGTGCTGAGCAGCTGAATCTCAGTTTCTGCCATTTTTGTGACACTGCTCATTAGGCAGGGTAAATGATGCTGTCTCTGTGTATAGAAGAACGTGATGTTAGTGCTGTCTCATTTTCAGTTTGTATCTCATTACAGATGTCCAGTTTCTGTGGTCACCAAGTTTCCCCTTGTTGCTTGTTAGTTTTTCTCATAGTGTTATCTCCTCATCTTTCAAGGACACAAGAATCACCTGCAGAGCAAAGATCTCAGAAATTAGGTTGTTTTGCTGAGGGAAAGGCACACACTTAGTTTAGTACTTAATGAACAGACTCTGAAGGGTTTTGTTTAAATTAGCACTTGGAGGCTGAAGGGGTAAGGAGAAAGATAAAATATTCTTAACAGTGGCAAAAGAAATTATATAAAATAAGGACAACAGGATACTATGCTGTAAACATAGAAATAAAGTGCTTAGGTTCTCTTGTAGCTCAGTTTGAAATTATAACACTCTAGAACACTATTTGGAGAGCTGTTGTTGATTGCTGTTGTGATGGAGCTGAGATGTCTGTTCCCACCTCACATAGCAGATGTGGGACCATGTCAAGTGGGAGAGATTCTTTTCACAAAGTGTAGGGGGAAGGCAATATGGCATCCTTGCATTCATGCACCAAGCACCTGACATCTAGAATTAGGTATGTTATTCCTCCCTCTCACTGTGATATCCTTACTACCCTGTTAATGGCATCATAGAAGGGTTTGGGTTGGAAGGGATGTTTAAGATCATCTAGTTCCAACCCCCTGCTATAGGCAGGGACACCTCCCTCTAAACCAGGTTGCTCAAAGCCCCATACAGCCTGGCCTTGAGTGCTTCCAGGGAGAGGGCATGATAATCCCCTTTTTAAAAAATGTTGGTGATTCTTTCCTATGCCA